CTTTATTGAAAGGAGTATTGATTTTTCTTCTTTACACACACACACACACACACACACACACACTCTGTGTGTGTGTTGACTGTGAAGCAAAAGCTACATGCATTCTTCCCCCCACCCTTCCAATATCTTAGAAGGAGGCAGAAAAGGGAAAAGCCAAGGTACCGTATTTTTTGCTCTATAAGACTCACTTTTTCCCTCCTAAAAAGTAAGGGGAAATGTGTGTGTGTGTCTTATGGAGCGAATGCAGGCTGTGCAGCTATCCCAGAAGCCAGAAAAGCAAGAGGGATCGCTGCTTTCACTGCGCAGCGATCCCTCTTACTGTTCTGGCTTCTGAGATTCAGAATTTCCCCCCCCTTGATTTCCTCCTCCAAAAACTAGGTGCGTCTTGTGGTCTGGTGCGTCTTATAGAGCGAAAAATACAGTACATAGCAGCTCTCCAGGGTTTCAGGCAGGGAGTCTGTCTCAGCCCTTCCTGGAGGTGCCAGGGATTGAACCTGAGTACCTATTGCATACAAGGCAGATGCTCTGTTGCTGCAATTCACTTGAAAAGAAAGCAGGATTCTGGTCCTCATGGTTCTGAATGCAGGGGCTGAATTAAACGGGAAAGTGGGAAGCTGCCTTATTTCAAGCCAGGACATTGGTGCATCTAGCTCACTTACAACAAATGGCAGCGGTTAATGTCATTGCACACAGGTTGTACATTGACAATAAGGATATTATTATTATTATTATTATTATTATTATTATTATTATTATGTTTCATGGTTTTCAGACAGGGAGTCCCTCTTCCAGGCCTCACTGGAGATGCTGAGGATCAAACCTTTGGCCTTCTAGCTGAGTAGCACCATTCCCATTTTTCACCTTCCATTTTCCATCTTCCACCCCACTGGGACTATTCTTTTTTGGGGGGCAGAGAAAGGGATCACCTGTATTGCAAAGGCCAAACACATTCGTGTGCACTGGCCTCCCACTCCTTAACCACTCCCTCCCCACTTTCCTCATAATTTACCAGTTTTAACCTCCTACGGAATGACACACATATAAATATTGTTAATAGCACTAACATAATGTTAAGTCAGGTTTTACTGGACTCCCTCATACACCCTTCTGGATTTATTAGCTGTAGGGCTTGAAGTAAATTTTTATTAGCCCTACGTTAAACACAACCACTATAGACTTGGCTATTATTGTTAGTAAAATAAAACCCCACAAAAACCCAGTCCCCCCCTCACACACATGTATAGATGTATCTTTGCTGCAATATTTATTCTTTTTGCCAACCAGTGCTGATTTTGTAAGTCATGGGGACTTTTCCTTCATGAAGCTGTTATGAACTGTCCTTGGCCACCCACTAATGGCTTATTGACCAAACAGCAGATAATTAAGCAGGGGGACGAAGTTGCCACTGCGATGGATTAGATGCAAATTTGGCCCTTAATATGCCAATGACCTCTTTAATAAATTCAGGTGAAATTTAAGAGGGGAGTGCAGTTAAAATGGTTGCCCAGGGCCTTTTTTTTGATATTTACGATCCAAATGGGGTTCGGATGGGTTGGTTGGTTTGGAAAGAGCCTATTGATCTGGAAACAATATTGTTCATAATCACAGCATTTCTATTTTTATTTGAAATGATAATTGGCTAATAAATATCAGACAGATATCTTCCCCCCTCCCAAGAAGCACAGTATTTCTGAAATACATTTTCCCACCCACCCCATCCTGTACAAGCTCTTAATGCTTCTCTGGAGACTTTAGGTTAAAAGAGTGCGGAAAACGATGGTACTGTTCCTGGGTAAAAAAAATTGACCATACTGTTTTTATAGATGAGTCTATTGACGCTGTTTGTCATGAGAGCGGGTTTGAACCTCTGTATCTGGGGCATCGGTTTGATTTGCATTTTGATGATGGACCACCTCTTTTGTACTGTTTGAACCAATGTGCGAATGGAAACACAGCTATCTTTCAAAATCCACACTTCTGTGGATTTTGCAAGACAGTTGTCATAAGCCATTCAGTACTGTCAGCACTAGTCTTGAATTAGCAGGGCCTGACACTGCAGGAGGAGGAAGAGGAGGAGGAGAAGGAGGAGAAAATGGGTGGGAATGGTGACAACCTGGGTTGGAGGAAGCGGTGATCTCCCCATTCCCTTCAGCCATTTGGGAAGGTAAGGTGCAGGGATGCTGGCTCTTCCCCTACCAACCTTCCTGGAGAATGGATAGCCTTGGCTTTCATCAGCCAAGGTAGGATGCAGAACAAGAGGCAACAGCAACTGAACAGGAGCCTGTGCAGGACGGTGCTGACTTGCAGATGGGCGCAGATTCACCTGCTCCGAGGGAGTATGTGTTCTCAATCCCAACATTCCTGCGAAGTGAGTCTTGCAAGTAAGTGTGCCATGCCTTGTCCTTGAAAGCTTGGTGGACAAGGTGAAAGAGATTGTTGGGACATCTTTGTTGCTTCTGTCGAGTTCTGAACATCTTGCCCTTCTCCTGAGCTCCATGCCTGTTGCTACGTCAGGACTGTCCCTTGCCTGAATAAATATCTCTTTGCTAATTACAAGGAAGAGCCTCTGTCTGTGTGTTTTGGGGCGTGGAAGCAAGGACAACACCAAATGGTATGTACAAACATGTGTCATATTAGTGGAAGCAGCTTGCAAAAATGTGTGTATTAGTCAAAAATGCATACAAAGATGTGTTTACTAGGAGAAATTTGCACTAAGTGAGTTTTCATGAAGATACAAAAAAATTGCAAAGGACTGTAGAAATGGCAAGCTCCAGATAGAAATGTTCAGGGGAGCACATTTTTGCTTTACATCCATCTCAAGATGCAAAAAGTTCTCCAGGTGTTTAACTATTCTTTTACCGGGACTGGAAAACTATGGTTCTATTAATGCAACCTCAAATCACATTAGACTTTTTTCCCTTCTCCCAACCAGCCCTACTTTGAGCTGCTCAAGTTCATTAAGGCATCACATTCTTTTCTATACAAGAGGGCACAGAGAGTGCAATTGATTTTAAGTCCGCCCTGTGACGGATGATACCCTACCCCCATCTTACTGACCTAATACTGCAGCCTAGATGCTAACGCTGCAGCAATAAACACTTTTTGTGTGTGAAGTTTAGAACACTTAATATAGAGCAAAACTGACTAGGCCAACCAGAACACACTCACTTTGAATTCTTTTACCAGGATCAAAACCACATGAGAAGCTATCAGTGAAATGTGTACATTTTAAATATAAGACATATTCACTTTTCTATTTACTGTTGGCTCCCATGCATCAAAATTTAGATTGTAAGCTCCATTGGGCTGGGGCTTTCATAGGAACATAGCCTTATACAGAGTCAGGCCACTGGTCTACCTAGCTCAGTGTTGTCTACAATGATTTCAAACAGGATCTTTCCTAGCCCTCTTTGGAGATGTAAGCCTGGGGTGTTCTGAATGCATAGCAAATGCTCTAACACAGAGCTATGGTATTTTCTGTGGGGGGGAAATATATATTTAGAAAGAAGAGATACTTTTTCTGTCTTTCTTATAATAGCAGAACTTGAGATCACCTAAGGATGTTCATCATCAGCAGAAGGCTCAGGTCAGACGAAATGAAGTGCTATTTCACTCAATCTATAGCAAATTGATGGAATCCATTAATTATCATGTGGTGACAGCCACAAGGTTAGGTTGCTTAAAAAAGGGATTAGATTCAGGAAGAGAAGGTCTGCCACCAATCATTAGCCACAAGTGCTTAAGGGGAGGGAATGAAACCTCCCTTTTCTGAGGCAGTATACCTGTGAGGAACTGATGTGGGAGAAAAACCTCAGGGGAGGCAGTTTCCCATCATGCTGTGCTTATGTGCTTCCATTTCCAGAGGGCTCTGTCTATTTACTATTAGAAAACAAGCACTGGTTTTGATGGACCTTTGGACTTATTCAGCAAGGTGATTCTTTAGAGCTTCATTGAAGCTGACATGAAGGAGCTAGAGGTAGGATTGCCTCATTCTAATTTCACAAGACCTAGCCTCCTGGGTGGGCAGGATTTGGTTTTTCTAACGCTGCTCAGATCTGCAAACAATTGCTTGTCGACAATCTTAGCTGGGTCAAGAAGTCCATCACTGTTTCTTTGCTGGGGAGTGAGACATTGGGCTGAGTTTATTTGTTCCTACAAACTTTGTAAATGTTACATACTGGAGAAATGAAAACAAACAAACAAGGACCTCTGTGTAGGTACTACAGGTACTACTTTTACAATGATAAAAAAATGTCACTTTGCTGTTGAGTTCCTGTGTGGTGTTCCCAGGATCTGCTTCCTTGTGTAAACCATTCTTGGAACACTTTGGTTCCTAGTTAGAATCTCTCTCCCCCCCCTCTCCCCACCCCCCTGCTCGGTGTGTGAAATATATATAATCTCCCCTCCACACCTTTTCCCAGAAGTCTGGTCTCTGTCTGGGCACTGCCCTATCTGACGGAGTCCTCTGCTTCCCTGACCTCTATCATCTGCTTCACCTTTTCTCCTGGAATCAATTACTTTCAGTGCTCTGCTACATATTCATCAGGGCTAAAGCTATTTGACCCCCCCTCCCCAATCTCTGTCCTCTGGCTCTATCTGCAGATCACAAGGATTCCACTATTTACTGAACAGCGACGTTACATCTTCATTAATCAAGCAAAGAGGGTCCAGGAAGTTCAGAGTCCCTTGCATGATGAAGATTATTTTTCATACATTTTGTACTGGAGCAACAGTAAAGGAATCTTTCTGCAAAAAGCTAAAAGCTTGTAGTGACCTGTTTAATGTAGCAGAGAGAGGGCACATCCCTGGTCTATTGCTACAACCAGGCAAAGCCACAGAGATGACCATTTCTTCAAGCTTCTTTGTAGGGTGGTTGCTGGCTGATGGCATTGGATGTCTGGTGGTTTCAAGCCGCAGGGATTTCTACTGCCCAGTTGCTAGTTTGAATGTAACCAACAAAGAAGACGGTAATCTTAAAGGGCAGGTTATGATCTGGTCCTGGAAGGGCCTTAGCTCAGTGGTAGAACATTTGCTCTGCGTTCAGAAGGTCCCAGGTTCAATCCCTGGCTTCTCCAGGTAGGGATGAGAAAGAGCCCTTGCCTGAAATCCCAGTGGATTGCATAGAGACATAGAATCTGTAGGCCTCCAGTTTCTGGACTCACATTAGCCTTAACTTAAATGGTTAATGGTCAGGGATGATGGGAGTTATAGTCTAACAACCTGCTGCAGCTTAGCTACCCTAAAATACAATAATATAGGCGGGGGCATTGTGCTAACCCCAGTTCCACAGGGGTAGTTCTAGGTTACCACTAACACACCCCACTCTCTCTGAACACCCAAGACTAAGATTTCTTGAGACTAGCAGCTAGATTTCATTGCCAAACTGTATTTATGATGCTATTGAGCTGTGCCTGAACTCTAGAAGTTTGCAAAAACTGGTATAATTTTGGAAGTCTGTCTGCATGGCACTTTTCAGAGAGAGAGAGAGCGAAAGAGAGAGATAAGAACTCCATGTCAAGAATAGAAAAATATAATGTGGGTTTGCTTTTAAAACAAAAAAGGTTAATAAGAGTTTAATTTAATTAAACAATTCAAAGTTCAATATTTGCTAAGCGTCTATGACTTTCTGTTTGGCATGGAGTGAAATGGGAGCCTGTGGGCTACTGTCAGAAGGCCGCTCAGCCAGAAAAAACATTGAACAGAATAAGGGGAAATATTTGAGGCCTTTGAGTCCTGCATACTCAACAGCCTCCCCCTCCCCCCAATTCTGAACACCAAATGTGAAATGTGAAAAGGTTAAATATTAACAAAAGTGAACAGCAGCAAACTTCAAAATATGTATTTTGCTTCTCACATTGGATGAGGAACCCTCCAGACGTGATTGGACTACAACTCCCATCATCCATGACCATAGGCCATTCTGGCTGGGGCTGATGGGAACTGGAGTGCAACAACATCTGGCTCCCAATCCTTGCTTCAAGGCAAATGTTCTTGGTATGACAACAGAGGTATTGTCACTGTGTCCCTCTTTCCATCCCTGAATTGTTTATTTTATTTATTTCTTCCTATATACACAAAAATGTAAGGCTATTGTCATGCTGCTATTTGTGCAGCCAACAATGGCCCAGCCTCCTTTAAAGGGCTTGAGGGATGGAATGAGCTGTGAGGGAATAAGCAAGGTTAAAGTGTAAAGTGAGTTGGGGCGGCTTCTAACATGCATATGAAAACATAATAAAACATTAACACTTTAAAAACTTCCCTATACAGGGCTGTTTTCAGATGTCTTCTAAAATATCTCATTGGCTCGTGGGTCACATAACTCCATACCCTTCAACATTTCTCCGATGAAAATAGAGGTGTCCTAAGGAAAAACTAGGGACGCGGGTGGTGCTGTGGGTTAAACCACAGAGCCTAGGACTTGCTGATTGAAAGGTTGGCGGTTCATCCCCGCGATGGGGTGAGCTCCCATTGCTCGGTGCCAGCTCCTGCCAACCTTGCAGTTCAAAAGCACATCAAAGTGCAAGTAAATAAATAGGTACCACTCCGGCGGGAAGGTAAACGGCGTTTCCGTGCGCTGCTCTGGTTCGCCAGAAGCGGCTTAGTCATGCTGGCCACATGACCCGGAAGCTGTACGCCGGCTCCCTTGGCCAATAAAGCGAGATGAACGCCGCAACCCCAGAGTCGGCCACAACTGGACCTAATGGTCAGGGGTCCCTTTACCTTTAAGGAAAAGCTGGACATTCCCAGATCAAATCAGAAACCAGGACAGCTTCTGTAAATCTGGGACTGTGCCTGGAAAATAGGAACACTTAGGGGGTCTGGATCTGCTGACAAGATTCTGATCTCCCTTCTGCATGCTGATTTCCTCCCATTTTAGAACATTCAGAAACAGAGCATCGACTTTTCTTTTCTCATCCCACCAGTGGAGAAGTGGGAAGTGCCAGCCATTCAGGAGTGTGGGCTGAGGACAGTCCTGTGACAATGAAATGGTCAAGGCTGCAGCCTCAGTGCCTTGTTTTTCCTGGGCCTGTGGGCCAGTAGCTCCTAACATCCCAGGGTGTGTGGCCTATCTTGTATATCAGAGGCAGGCATGTTCTCCTTGGCGCGATAAGGAAGAGCAGCAGGCGGGCAGGAAGATGAGCAGGAAATGTAATTAAGAGGCTTCATGAACGATAAATGTTTGTTCCTTTGCTTTCGTCCTTTCTTTCCCCTGCGGAACACCCCCTGCCCGAGAAGAAACCTGAGGGATATTTGGGATGATTACATTTATTAGAGCATGGGGGCGGGGGGAGAGGGTCGTTACACCCATATGACACATGAATGTGATGGTTTCAGATTTGATTAGGCAGCCTCGGGGCAGCCACGCTTCACCCCAACTCCAAATGAGCAAGGCCTCTGTCAGGCATCCTTAATGGTCATTTTTGCATCAGTGGTAATGAGACAGCCAAGAAAGCCTCTTTCTTAACCCCTTGGCCCAATGTCTTAGGAGCAACAGAGGGGCCACCCTGAGGGGACACAAACGAGTCCAGACCTAATCAGGGCATTGGGCTACAGTGTGTTGCGTTGCGTTGTGGGATGTGGGTGTGTGTATAAGCCAACTCAGAAGGCTTCAGATCTAGTTGCATTCTTTCAAACAAGCTTTCCTTGCAAGGTTGTTGTGAGGATAAAATGCAGATGGGAATCAGGTTTAGTTCAAAGGTTGGTGTCAGCACCCGGGTGACCTCATGTAGGGCCCACCAAGGCCTGCTATTTATCATATTTTCCCATGTATAAGACTAGGTCCCCCCCCTAAAAAATCTCCCCCCAATTTTCTTAAATCTGTGTCCCCCCAAAATAGGGGGCGTCTTATGCATGGGGGCATCTTATAGACAGAAAAATATGGTAAGTCCTACTCAGAGCAGCCCCATCAAAATGAATGAACATGACTAATTTAGTACTATCATGCCCTCCAACATTCCTCAGATGAAAATGGGGACATTTCTCATTCCCTCAGTTAACACTCCTTGACCCCCCCCCATTTTTGTGTCCCCCCCCAAGCATTTCCTATCAGATGAAGGGTGAGTGCCATCACCACTTGAATGTACAAACACCATCCACCATCTTGGGAAAACCCCTTAATCTTGATTTTATTTTATTTTATTATTCTTTGGTAAATTTACAAAAAGAAAGACACACACTGATAAATAAATTTTAGAAAGGATCAAGATTAGATTCAGATGCACAAAGTTGTTGGTTGTTGTTTTTTTAAGACAAAACTCCTTGTGCTCCACTCTGCTCCCCATTTTTTCCACCCTGCCCTCTGCCTGCATACTTCCAACATTGCATACCTCAAATTCCATAGTGATCATTTTACTATTTATGCCCCACGCATCTTACTGGGTTGCCCCAGCCACTCCGGGCAGCTTCCAACATATAAAAAACACACAAAACATTAAAAAAACCTTCCCTATACGGGATTGCCTTCAGACGGCTTGGGGAGTCAGATAACTCTGTACCCTCCAACATTTCTCCAATGAAAATAGGGACATCCTAAGGAAAAGCAGGACTTTCTGGGATCAAGTCAGAAACCGGGACGGCTTCTCTAAATCAGGGACGTCTGTGGAAAACAGGAATACTTGGAGGGTTTGCTCTAAGGGTCTATTATGAGTAAAGATTAGTTGAATATATAATCCATGAATCTAAGTCAGTTATGCCCATCAGTTTCAATGAGTCTACTCTGAGTAGGGCTAATGTTGCATGCAACCCAATTAATGTATATACTTCTTAACACTCTAATAGGCTTCTAAGTCACCTTAAACTGCATTAGATCCATGACCAAACTGGTTCCGTAATAAAGGTTAAGGTAAGAGTAAAGGACCCCTGGATGGTTACGTCCAGTCAAAAGCGACTCTGTGGTGCGGCACTCATCTTGCTTCAGGCCCAGGGAGCTGGCATTTGTCCACAGACAGCTTTCCGGGTCATGTGGACAGCATGACTAAACCTCTTTTGGTGCAATGGAACACTGCGACGGAAGCCAGAGCACACGGAAACACCGTTTACCTTCCCGCTGGAGCGGTACCTATTTATCTACTTGCACTTTGACGTGCTTTCGAACTGCTAGGTTGGCAGGAGCTGGGACCGAGCAACGGGAGTTCACCCCATCTTGCAGATTCTAACTGCCGACCTTCTGATTGGCAAACCCAAGAGGCTCAGTGTTATGTATCTTCTAGTTCACTATGGCTTTCCAAGGTGTTGCTAGCTGAGACCCTGGTCTCTAGGGATCTAATCCAACAGACTAGAGCCAGTGTGGTTAAAGTGTCAGACTAGGATCTGGGAGACCAGAAAATTCCAATCCCCACTTGGCTATGACACTCAGTGGGTGACTTTGGGCCTAGCTGTTTCACACCCTGACCTACCTCACAGGGTTGATGTGAGGATTAAATGGGGAGGGAAAGAACCATGTGCAGTACACCACCTTGAGCTCCTTGGAGCAGCGGGTCCCCAGATGTTGTTGGACTACAACTCCCATCATCCCTGAGCTCTGGCCTTGCTAGCTAGGGGTGATGGGAGTTGTAGTCCAACAACATCTGGGGACCCACAGGTTGAGAAAGGCTGCCTTGGAGGGAAAGGTTGGATATTAAACAAACAAACAAACAAACAAACAAACAAACAAATAAATAGACGTGAACCGAAATTCCATTGTTTCAGACTAAAGACTTGCTTCCTAAAACAAAATCTGAAAGGTGGGTATTTTTTTTGCCCATTGGATGCAGCAGAGGATACCAATATTGCATCTTTTGCAGAGAAGAGGGAATTCTGGGAAATACAGCTTCACTGGTGGTCCTGCATCACCACAACCTGTGCCTGCTGTATTCCTCTTCCTCCCTTCCTCTCTCTCTTGCACAATGATCCCTGCTAATTTTTTTTTTTTTTAATTGCAATGTACTGATGTCAAAACCAATCCAAGCCGTGGGTGCATATATTTAAATTAAAAGTAATTAAAAATGGGCCGCCAGAGGGGAGGGTAGATGGCGAAATGATAGATTCAATGCCGGAAAATGAAGTAATGAAATACTTTATGGATTAACTCGTATCA